GGACACGCTAAAACCTTTTGGGGAGGTCTGCGCGGCTGTTAACCCCTTCCTTGCTGGGTTATCTCTGTCCCCGGGCTCGGTGCGGCATCAAATCAGTGCCCGGTGCGGGGGGGTCCGTGCTGGGCAGGGGAGAGGCCACTGTAAGAAGGGACAGGGTCTGTCACTGGGTCCCTGCCAATGCTGGTGGGTCGAGGGAGACGCCGAAGCTGAAGCGGTTGTGGTGGCCCCAGGCCAGGAACCGAGCTCCGTGTGCGATGCTGCATGTCCAGATCTGCGGGGACAAAGAGCCTGTCGGTCGATGGGCACCCACCGGGGATGCCATCCCCCCGTGCAGCTGCCCCTTCCCGTGGTGCCAGCCTTACCAGGTAGGCGACGAAGGCCATATAGATGACCAGCAGCAGGCCCAGGGGGATATGGTACCCCAGGCCCCGCAGCGTGGGCAGAAAGTCCACCACGAAGTAGAGGTTGATGCCGCAGACCAGCCCTGTGATGAGGGTCATCAGCACCTTCCCCAAGCTGTGGGCAAGAGAGCAGGCATCAGCACCAGGGCAGAGCCACGGGGCACCAGGGGTCTGGAGGATCTGGGGTTGTAGGTGAGCAAGACCCCAACTGGGACGTCTCTGCAGGCCGTGGCCATACTACACCACCACGATGGGGCTGTGGGTGCAGGCTTTGAATATCCTCTGAACAGAAGGCTGGCAATGCCAGGAGGATGCCAGGGGTGCCCAAAGGGGTAGGTCGGATGTGGTGATGGGATGAGGATGGAAATGAGTGATGGGATCTGTCCCACTCTGGCTGCCCTGGGCACATGGGGATGAGCATCCCACCCGGTGACCATACACCAACTGCCCCCGTGGTGTGATTTGGGGGGACAGGATGGCCCAAAGAGAAGTGCCTGCAGCTGGGGCACCCCGTTCTGCCCCCCTTTACCTCCCCCCGCCCTGGCACTCACAGGCCGTTGGTGAAGTCCTGCATGAGTGGGCGCAGGCTGGTGAAGGTGAGGACGGGCAAGACGGCAAAGGGCAGCTGGAAGGAGAGCTGGGTAAGGGGGGTAACAGATGACAGGCTGTGCTGTTAGGGGGCAGGTGGTGCCCCCTCCACCTTACCAGGATGCTCTGGAGGACGTTGAGCAGGTCATTCATGCCCGTGAGGTGGCTGACGTCCTTGAAGGCAGCCACGAAAATGGTGGGCAGGATGGCAAAGGAGCGGGTGAAGAGCACCCGGGCGAAGCGGGACCAACGGAGCTGCAAAAAGCCCTGGGGACACAGCAAGACTTGCGCCCCTGCCCCTCACCGTGCCTGGGGCACCATGCCGGGGTGACATCCCCCCAAATCCTGGCTTGGAGGGGACGTGAGGGGCATCACCCCCTCGTCTGTGCCAAGGCGCTGAGCAGGGCCTTGCAGGGCTGCCAGGCCCCACTAGGTGTCAGCTGCATCTCATTAAGCAAACGAATTCATTAGGGAAACACCGCGGGGGGGCACCCACAGTGTGCCTCTGGGAGGAGGTGGCACAGGGGGTGGGGGTAGCAATGCGTGGGCACTGTCCCCATCCCACCTCCTGGAGAATGGGGACCCTGGTGCCAGCAAGCTGCCACCCACCAGGTGGGCAATGCCCCATGCCCAGCTCCCTGCAGGCATTGGGGGGCAATTAACTCTGCCAAATACCCCAGGGGGGAGGGGAGAGGCACCCATAGGACCTCCCACTCAGAGCCCACCCGTGGTTCCCCTCCCTCCCAGTTGCTCCCCGTGCAGACGAGGGCCAGCATCTCTGTCCCTCACCTCCATGACGAACTGCCCCGCGTAGGTCCCCGTCATGGTGGAGCTCTGTCCCGCCGCCAGGATCCCGATGGCCCAGATGTACAGAGCCACCGCCCCGAAATAGCAGCCCAGGATGACACCCTGTGTGGGGACACTCCCATGGGGACCCCAAAGTGTCCCTCTCCCCGGCCACCCCCATCAGCTCCTGGTCTCCCAAATGGGTTGTGGCAGCCCCTGTACGCAGAGGTCAATGGCGGGGAGCACTATGTCCCCCAGACAGGTACGGATGCCCACTGGGCACAGCCCAGGGCCACTCACCCCCTGGTAGATATCCACAGAGACCGTCTCGTTGTTGAGGGGGAAGATGCCAGCGTAGCGGCTGACGCTGCTGTTGACGCACTTGTTGTGCTGCCAAGGCACAGCAGGCATGAGCGTGACGGCCACCCGACAGCCCCCACGGACACGGGGGGACACCCCCCACAACCCAGGGGGTGAAGACACCCACCCGCCAAGGGATGCTTGCCCTGCTCATCTCCGCAGCTGGGCACAGCCATCACCTCCCTGCGGGCACGAGGTGACACTCACCACATCCTCGTTTCGCTGGCGGTAGAAAGCCTCACCGAAGACAGCCATGACGAAGAGGTTGATGAGGAAGGAGATGAAGAGGGCCAGGCAGGACTCGGTCAGGAAATACATGTTGGCTTCCTGCACTGCCTCCTTCTTGGACCGGTCAATTGCCCGTGTCTGGGCACGGTGGGTGACATGGGTGCCATGGGGTCAGCAGAGCATCCCCGGTCCCACAGTCAGGACCAGCTGGTCACCACCAAGTGTCCCTGGAGACACTCTGGGATGACAGTGCCCATGGCAGTGCCTTGGTCTCACCTTGACCAGGGAGGAGTGGAGGAAGATGTTATGGGGCATAATGATGGCGCCGACGATACCCACGGCCTGGAGCAGCTCCTCTCGCCCACAGCCCGGGCAGTAGGGCAGGAAAATGCCCTTCAGCACCTCCACCTGGCTTGGCCTCACCACCACGTACTGAGGACCAGGAAGGGGTACTGTGAGTTGACACCCTCCTACTTCAGCCTGGTGCCAGGGGGGACACCCCGTGGGGGTCCCCTGCCAGCGCCCCTCAAGGAAAGGGGTGTCCCCAGCTCCCCCCTTTACCTCATAGCCGAAAGTCAGGGCCATGATGGTGATGAGGAGGCCAAAGAAAGCCTCCAGTTTGCAGAGTCCTAGAGGGGTCAAGACATGGGGTGGAACAAGGTGACGGGCACTGATGCCACATTGGCACCAGGGCAAGCATCCCTTCCACTCCAGCACTCACCGTACTTGTCAAGGAAGAGGAAGAAAAGGGTGTCCACGATGGTGATGAGGACCCCACCCCAGAGTGGGATGCTGCAGGGTGGCAAGGGCAGTGGAGGGGAGGGCGTTAGCCACATGCCCCTTGGCAGAGCAGGGCCATTGGGGGTCAGGGGAGGTCCCTGGGGGGTGTCTTACCGGCCAGCCGAGAGCAGGCTGAAGGCGATGGCTGTCCCAATCACCTCCTGCATGTCGGAGCCGATGATGGCGATCTCAATCATGAGCCAGAGCAGCACACGGGGCACCTGGAGGGGCCAAGGCACGATGAGACGGCCGAGCCCACGGTGGGGAGCACAGCCTCCGGGGTGGAGATCCCTGTCCCCGTCCCCAGGCTGTGGCAGGCCACCCAGAGCAGCGTGGGGACCCCGGGAGACATCCCCCCAGCCTCTCCCACGACACAGTCTCAGGGTGCAGGACGGATCTTAACCCCCAGCCTGTCCCCCTGCCCCATCCCTGCCCCAGTGGGCGCTGAGAAGAGGACCCAGACGTCTGGATACGGTGCTCCTGGAGGGGTGTGGGGGCTGAGGGACGTACCCAGCCCTCCTTTTGGGGACCTGTCATTCAACCAATATCTCATCGCTTGTTCGCCCCCACCTGCTGCCTAAATGGGACCCCTCCTTTGCTGTGTGACCCCCCCAGCCCCCCCCAGCTCCCTGCCCAGGCTTGCCCTGCATCTCGGCTGCGCGTCGCTGCCCCGACGCCTGGGCTCACCGCCCCCGAGGGACGCGCTTACATGTCCCCACATTGGACCAGGACAGCTGCTTTCCCCACCAAGTCCCCATACCAGAGGGGTGTGTGGGTGCTAGATGGGGGGTGCTGAGCCTGGGGGGGGCTTTGGGGAGCCCCTGGGAGATGCGAGGCTCTTACAGCGTCTTCCTGCCACTCTCCACCACCCAGACAGTCCTGCCCACCCCCTCACTCCCTACCACGACCACCACCAGCCCAAGCGTGGGGTCACCCCAGGCTGTGACCCCGAGTGGGGGGTCCCCATGGGTGCTCACCTTGGGGTAATAGAGGTAGCAAATCTCGCCCAGGTCCTTCCCTGTCACTACGCCCAGCCGGATGGCCAGGCGCTGGCACAGCAGCCCCAGGACGGTGGCCCACAGCAGCACCCACAGCAGCTGGGGGGACAGGAGGGAGGGAGGCAGCAGGGAGCTGGGCACCGGCCAGGATCTGGCCACTCAGGGGTCCCAGCAAGGTTAAAAACTAGCCCCGGGGACATGGGCAAGGAGAAGTCCTGAGGGGCTGTGAGTGGTCCCCAGCCCAGGCAAAGGGGTGGTGTGTCCCCACTTTTCCACCCCCCAGCTCCCTCCCGTTCTCTTCCCGCTCCCCGGGCAGGGGAAGCTGGATTGCTGTGGGGCCGGGCAGCCGTTGGCACAGGAGACATTACGAAATCCCCGGCTGCTTCCTGACCCTGGGGCTGGGGGGCTGGGGGGGGTGATGGGGACCAGGGCTCACCTTGAACCCCGCCACTGCCCCACACTGCAGGTCCGACTCCACATTTCCCGGGTCCAGGTAGGCGATGCTCATGAGGAAGCCGGGACCAGTGAAAGCCCAGAGTTTCCTAAAGCTGAAACCGGGCTGGGACGAGGCAGCAGGTCAGAGCTGGACACTCCCACACGCTCCCATTCAAAACCAGTGTCTCCCAGTTGCACCCCCAGCCCCCTGTAGCCTGTTGCTGGGAAGCCCTGTGCTACCTGCATGGGTGCATTTCACACACGGAAGACGTTTCTCCTGCCGGCTTTGGGGAGGAAACTGCTGGCCCCCAGCCCCTCTCTGTTCCAGCAGTGCTGGGGGGGGCAGCAAGACCCCCATCCCACACGGGGACAGGTTGGGCAGTGATTTGCAGGAGTGTCCTAAGGCTGTCAGACACCATTAATTGCACCCCATGAGATCCCACTGCTGAGCCTGGCTTTTACCACCCCTCCTGGGAGGGGAACCCCCATCCCTTCCCCTTCTCCCTTCTCCCCCCACCCCCCGGAATGGGGACAGGAGTGTCTGCCCACCCTCAGATGGAGGTGCCAGCCTGGCAGCACCTACCCCGCTGCCCTTGGGGATGCTGATGAGTTCATCCAGGTAGGTCTGATCCCGGGTGCCAGGGCGCTGCGGGGGCACGGGGCTCCCGCCGGTGCCGTAGGTCTGGGCTTGGCCCCGGTTTAGGGACCCGGTGAGGCCTGAAGGGGGACAAGGAAAGGGAGGAGGGGAGGTGGCAACCCGCCGGGGAACAAGGACACTGGTGGGCTGGGAGCCCTGATACCAGCTTCTGCCCAGCCCCACCTACTCCTGCTTGGTGAGCCCCATAAGGGATGACCCCCATTTTTCCAGGAGGGACATGAGCGTGGCTATGTGAGGGCTAGCAGTGGCTATGCAAAGGGGTTAGATGCCACTTCCAGCTTAGGTGTCATTAAAATACCCTGGTCCCAGCCCAATCTTCACTAATCCAAAAGCCAAGTGCATTTCTGGGCAGTAGGGACAGGAGGGGACACCTGGCTCCTGCTGCTGGGTGGGCACAGAGTGGAGACAAGAGGCTGGTACTGATCCCATTCCCCCCCCAGCCCACCGACAGGTCCTGGGAGTGTGGGTGGATCACTAGTGGGCTTGGGGGAAGAGAGGATGGGGCAGGTGGGGAAGCCAGGACAGGATGGGGAGGACGGTACCCACTGTGGAGGGGAGCAGGGCCAGGGATCCCAGGGCAGAGAGAAGGAGGAAAGGAGGTGTGGGGGCACCCAGGTGTCGTGGGGCTCACCTGGTTCCAACGATGCCATGGCTGGGCCCGATCCAGACATGCTGCTGGGAAGCCCTGATCTCGAAACTGGGTGCACTGCCTGCCGCCCAGCTTTTAAAGAACATCCCCCCCCAGTTGCCCTCCCCCGAGGAGGAGGAGGGAGAAGTTCTCCTTTCCCACCCGCTGACCTGGGCCAGGAAAGGGGCCCTGCCTGGGGGAAGTTGGGTGCTATGAATGTGCACGGTCTCAGTTTCCCCACCCCGTGAAGGGATTTGGGGAGGGACGGGACAGGACCCAGCGCCTCCCTCACCTCAGTGTGTGCACACACTCATGCAAACATGAGACACCCACACCAGTGTGCCCAGGGGGTGTGGGAGTGTGCCTGCGTGTCACCCTCCATCACATGCCAAGGGTCTGCTCCTTGGGCAGTTGTGGGGGGGGGCGCAGAGGACAGGGCTGGCCCCATGGGGGTAGGGGGAGGAGGAACAGGCTCCTGCCAGAGGAGCAGGAGTGAGGAGGAAGCAGGCGTGCATTGCACGAGCGCGTGAGCAAAATGCACCCTCAGTTGCTGGGGGTGGGGGGGGAGTGCCCAGCCTGGTGGGCTCTGCAGCACAGGGTGCTCACACCACCCCCAGGGTTGGGGGAATCCTCACTCCAAAGATGGGATGGCTCAGCAACTCTGTGGGTCAGTCTGTTCCCACAAAGTGGGGCACCCTGTCCCCAGGACCCTTGTGGCTGTGGAGGCAGAAGGAGGAGCACCCCAGGTTCACCCATGGGTGCCTGGGCAGTACTGGCTGCCACCAGGCTGTGACCCACAGAGAGGTGGGCATCGGGATATGGCCCCAGGGAGATGTGGGGTGCCCCAGCCCAGGGATGCGAGCCTGGCTCTGCCCCAGGGTATGTCCCAGGCACCCTCACCCCCCCAGGAGGGGACTAGAACAGCCAGGAGGGGGGCAGGATGCCTGGGTCCCTGCCAAGACGGGCATAGGGGGGGTTAGCACGCAACTCAGCACCCCCTGCCCTCCCCGTGCCTCAGTTTCCCCAAAGCAAATGAGCCTGGACAGGCGGCACCGGCAGCTTTATTCCTTGTTAGCTGGAGGGTGGCGAGGCGGGGGGGGGGGGAGGGGGCTGGCAGGCCCGGCAGAGGCGGAGCGGGGCCT